CCACTCCTCGGAAGGAAGATGGGGCAATCTACTTCTGTAGTGATATTGTCTCGGAAACCCAAGGAGGTGTAGCTATGGGTAGGGTCCGACTCGATGGCACATAACAACAACAACAACTAGTATTTTAAATACTGATAGCATAGCTTCTAGTATCATATCAACACACAAGCCACAACAACATGACAAACTGGCAGGTGAATTGTGGCTTATTCTTTGACTACAAATTGAATTCCAGTCCATACTAAGCTCCTAATGCTAAATGTAGAGTGATCATACTCTTGGCCACATTCTCTTCCATTCATTCACTCATTAAATGTGTACTTACTAGGACCCTAGTGGATGACAGGAACAAATTTAGAAGCTACAAATGCAGTGGTGAATAATAGTTTTTCCTGACCTTAAAGAATTTGAACTATTAGGATAACAACACAAGTTAACTTGTGATTACTGATTAATATAATACAGTATGATAGATGTTAAATAGGGATTTCTACTTTGTGCTATGGAGGTGCAGAAGAAGGTACTTAATCTAATGTTTGGATGATCAAGAAGTTTCCCAGAGGAGGTGATATATATGCTGAGATCTAAATCAGTAGTTCTCAAACTTTAGCATACATCAGTATCACCTGGAAGGCTTGTTAAAATTCAGATTTCTGGGCTTTATATTCAGAGTCTTTGATTTACTAAGTCTGGGATGTAGATTGATCATTTGATATTTCTAATAATTCCCAGGTGATGTTGATACAGAAACTAAACTTTGAAAACCATTTATCTAAAAGATGAAAAAGAGGCATGCAGTTGAAGGGTGATGTGGAATAAAAGCAGGGGAAAAGAAGTTCCAGACATAGAGGATGTAATATGTACAGGCCTTGTGGTAAGTGAGATGAACGTTGGAGTAGAGGAAAAGTGATCAATTCCAAAAAGATCAATGAGGTAGAAGTAGTAGGATTTAGGGATTAATAGGACATAGGAGATGCAGAAGAGAATTCGTGAAAGATATCCATGTTTTTGGAGGAATAAGGATCTCTGGTGGCACAGTGCCTAAAGTATTTGACTGCTAACCAGAAGGTTGGGTGGTTCAAACTCACCAGCTGCTCTGTGGAAGGAAGATGAGGCAATCTACTTCTATAAAGATTTACTGGCTTGGAAACCCAGTGGGGGTCACTATGAGTGAGAACAAGATGGCAGTGAGTTTGTTTTTTGGTATTCTTAAATGATACTCATATTGCTGACCAGCTAAATGGTGAGGCCCTTTACCAAGATAGAGAACATGTGAGGAAGCATACTTAGGATTGGGGGAGATAAGATGATGATAATTTTACTTTTGAATTTGTAAAATTTGAAGTGTCTATGAAACAACCAAATAAAGTTATCTAGTAGATATAAAGTTCTGGAACTCAGGAGAAAGGTATGATCTGGAGGAATAGATTTGGAAAAAATCAAAATTTAGGTAATAATTGTAGTAGGAATGAATGTAGTCACCCCAGAAAATATATTAAATAATATAGTAAGAATTCTTGAATGAGTCCCTGAAGAACAACAAATTATAAGGAATATACCAATTAAAAAGTAAGCCTCGTCATTAACAAGACAAGTAGAAGGAAAACTAGAAGATAGTATCACAGATGTGAAGAAGAAGAACATTTCAAGGATGAAGTAGTCAACAGTTTCAGCTGCTTCAGAGAGATTAAGAAAGATAAGGATGGAGATTCGTCATTAGATATAGTAACATGGAAATGGCTGTTGATCTTGATAAATTAATTGGAAATGAATACAGATTTGAATGGGCTAAAGAGTAAATGGGAAATACAGAAATGGAAGCAGTGGGTTTGGCTTAATTTTTAATTTTTATTTTTATTGCAATTTGGGGAAAA